GCTATTGTTTCAGATTGATCAATAATATCTGTTACTCCTTTTATGGCCTCTTCAGGAGTGCCCGCTTTTCTTTGTGATTTCCTCTTACAAGGAGCGGTATCTTTTGCACCAACTGGTCTGCCACGCTTCAGGCATGTTTTAGATGCATTTGTTGCATTACTGACAGAAGGTTCCTCAGGGACAGTAATTCGTGCTGGCACATTTGCAGCTGGTATATGTGATTTTATCACTTTCTTTGTATCAGTAAATGCATCAGGTAATTGATTTGCAACATTTTGCAAGTGAATGATCCTCTAAACTTCTTGTTCACATTGGTTTGTATGAGGATCAAAATGAGACAATTCCAGGGCATTCCAAGTAAGATCACGTTGCTGCTGTGCCTTTTCTCCCCCTAATGGTGGGAAAATAGTCTCATCAAAATGACAGTCAGCAAATCGTGCTTTAAAGACATCACCTGTCAGGGGTTCAAGATATCTAATAATAGATGGAGAATCAAAACCAACATAAATTCCAAGTCTACGTTGATGACCCATTTTAGTGCGTTGGGGTGGTGTAATTGGAACATATACAGCACAACCAAAAACTCGTATATGGGAGATATTTGGTTATTGGCCAAAAACAAGTTGCAATGGTAAGTATTTATGATAAGCAGTTCGTTGTATACGAATTAATTATACAACATGCAATATGGCATGACCCTAGGCAGAAACAGGTAATTTTGTTCGCATAAGAAAATGACGACCAATTAACTGAAGTCTTTTAATAAAAGATTCAGCTATACCAATTTGAGTATGAGTGTGTGCAACAGGGTGTTCAACATTAATTCCAACTGACGTGCAATAATCATCAAAAGTTTAAGAAGAAAATTTAGCGGCATTATCAAGACAGATTGACTTAATTGGGTAATCAGGAAAGTGTGCCCGTAATTTGATGATTTGAGCAAGGAGTCTAGCAAATGCAACATTACGGGTAGAAAGCAGACAAACATGCGACCATCTTGTTGAGGTATCAATTAAGACCATAAAATAGCGAAATGGTCCACATGGTGGATGAATTGGCCCACATATATCCCCGTGAATTCGTTGTAAAAATGGGGGAGACTCAACAATGATTTTTAAAAGGGATGGTCTGATAATCAATTTACCTTGTGAGCAGGCGGTGCATAGATGATTATTTGGTAAGATGATTTTTTGATCCTTTAGTGGGTGTCCATGTGAATTTTCAATAATTCGATGCATCATTGTACTCCCTAGGTGACCAAGTCGATCATGCCAAAGCATAAAAAGTTTTGGGTCACAAGATTTTTTATAGATCATAGCATTTGACTCAATTGTTCTAATGATTATATAGTATAATCCAAAAGAGAAAACAGGAAGTTTTTCTAATATCAGTTTCTTGCCTGAGGTAATGGAAGTAATGTAGAGATATTCCACATTTCTTTCATTTGCAATCTCAATATGATACCCATTATGACACAAATCTTTAAAACTCAACAGATTTCTCCGAGATCTTGTAGAATATAAGGCATCATTGATTTGTAATCTTGTTCCATGTGGTAAAGTGATGTTGGCTCGTCTAGAGCCTTCAATCAAGTCGGTGGGACCTGATATGGTATTGACATTGGCGTCTGTCAGAATTAAGTGGGAAAAATATTTTTGATCTCAAAGGATTGTGTGTGTCATTCCACTATCTGTAAGATATATATCTTCTCCATTTATTTTGGAACTAGTCAGATCCATTCCTATTAATGCAAATTTCTTTATCAGAAAAGAAACTTTTATAACAAAAGAAACTTTAATAAAAATTAGAAAATAAAAACTTTAATACAAGGAAAATAAAAATATAGTAGACAGAATATGAAAAGAAAATAAGATTAATTGGTGTGGACATTTCCATCACCAATCAGGAAGTCTATCTTTTCATCACGGTCTTCGAAGAAATCTGATACATCCAAATTTGTGATGTTAACTGGCTCATTATGATCAATGAAATTCATTTCTAGATTTGTGATGTCAACTGGCTCATCATGATCAAGAAAATTCATTTCTTTTTGTTTTCCCTTTTCTTTAATTGATGCTTGGTAAAATTAAGCCAGATGCTTAGGTGTACGACAAATACTTTGCCAATGCCCTGTCATGCCACGCCGATAACAAGTATTATCGTGTGCCTTGAAAGGTTGAGCCACATCCTTCCCTTTTCCCTGTTTCATTTCATGATGATCTCTCCTTTGAGGATATAGTGTGGATCTCTGATTGCGAAAATGTGAGGATTGATATCCTTCACGATAATAAGAATGATTTCTACCACGACCATATTTATTATTGTGGTAGTTATTTTTGCCACGACCATATTCATTTCTACCACCACGACCACGTCCACGTCCGCGTCCATGACCACGGGATGAGGCAACATATGTTTCAAGGATCGGTGTCGATCCAGTTGATTGGGACTAATGGTTTCTCAATAAAAGTTCATTATTTTGCTCTGCCATAAGCAAACATGATATCAGCTCTGAATATTTTTTAAATCTACGCTTTCGATATTGTTGTTGGAAGAGTACATTCGAGGCGTGAAATGTGGTGAATGTTTTTTCTTGCAAAAGTTCATCAGTAACAGTATCACCATATAATTTCAATGTAGAGCTGATTTTGAATAGAGCAGAGTTATATTCAGCCACAGTTTTAAAATCTTGCAACCTCAGTTGTAGCCAATCAGCCTTGGCCTTTGGGAGGATGACTGTTTTTTGATGATCATATCTTTCTTTCAAATTATTTCACAAACAAAGTGGATCTCTTTCAGTGAGGTATTCAGTTTTCAGTTCCTTACTAATATGGCGCCGGAGGAAAATCATGACCTTTGCTTTATCTTGCAATGATGCATCATTGTTTTCTTTAATTGTGTCTCCAAGGCCTATGGCATCCAAATGGATATGTGCATCCAGAATCCATGATAAATAATTTTTGCCAGAAATATACAGGGCCACGAATTTCAGCTTTGTCAGATTTGACATTTTCAGAATAACTAGATGTGACAATAATATAAAAATATAATTTAGCATTGTATATAAAATAAAATGACATTAAATGAGATAATAATATAATATAAATTATTTAAATAACAAAGGTGGTAAATCCAGCTAAATCATTAAATAATAAAGGTGGTAGGACCGATCATAATTAGTAAATCATTAAATAATAAATGTGGTAGAATCGACCATAGTGTAAGCACATATATCATTTAAGTGAACAAATTTATTTTACTAACAATAATTCATAATTAAAAGTTTCTTATCATTTGGAGTCAGAAATATTATTTTATTTGATAAAGCAAACCAAACCAACAATCTATCAAAATTAATATAAAAATATATAGTGGGGATAGAAAGAGGAAAGAGAGCTTTTGTTTTAAATTTTAGATGGATCGAGTTCGTGTTGATAATGTATAATAAATATGTGTGTGAAGATATATATAGATATAAAAAGAGGAATATAAAGAGATGGAGAGAGAGAGAACGGAAGAGAGATATAGGTGAAAATTTTCCTATTCCAACAACACACACAACAGTACATATGCATGGCCGTATATATAGGCGCAAAAATTGGCTTCCTTAAGAAGCCACTACTGAAATCTTTTTCTGGAAGACTCAAGCCATGATGTCATGAATGACATAATGCATTGTGGGCCCCACATCATTGTATATACATAACGATCATTCCTTTATTTTTCATGTTATTATATATTTTCGGAAGATGAAACAATATATATATGTAGAATATGGTTACATTTGGGCCCAAGGAGGGCCCAGAAAGGAAAGAACAGTTACATCTTGCCAAGGAAAGGAAGCCCCCATAGCTTAAACAGTACAAAATAACCGTTGATAACAGCAGCACGCCGTTATGAATGGATATTCCAACATATTCCGGTGACAAAGCCAAATTGGCCACGCTGCGGAGATGTGCACCGCCCCCAATCAGTCTGGAGCCATTGGTGGTGGACGGTTGCTGGCCGGAGAGTAGACCCGCTGGGAGAAGATTTCATTGCTTCGGGAATGCATCGTACTGGAAATTGAGTTACAGATCAGCTTCAAGACTGAGGGTTGCGTAGAAGGTGAGTTCCTAAAAACCCTCTTGTTTCTTTCTTGCCAAATGTGATAGACCATTGAAACCAGAGCAAGTCGACATACTCCAATTATAGGGTTAATCTGATTCCAGTGAAAGCAAGCCCAATTGACAAATTGGGGCCAGTTATTAGTTCTTGTATAGAACCTGAATTTATCTTGGATGAATTGCCAAATAGGAGATACATAATCACAATCAAAGAAGAAATGAGTGCGTTTGAGGAGCAGAGATGGCAAATTTTGTCAGATTGAAGGTAGGCCATACACTTGGAGTCAAGGGTTGAGAGTTTGGACTGAACAACAATCCATTGAATTCCACACAATCCTAGACCATGGGACTAGAACATAGGATGGAGATATGGCTGAGATGGTGTGTTTGAGAGTGTATTTCCTGTAGGCCCTGCCATCCATGTGATTGAATCAGGTATTGATGGGTTGGGTGGACTGAGTAGCCTTTGCTCAGGATTGTGGAGGTGAGTTGTGGAGAGAAAGACATGTATTGGAGACAATGAGTTCACTCACCATTGTATTAGGAGGTGACCCCACTGAGTGGATGGTATAATCAGAAAATTGTTGTGATAGTGGACATCTTCCAAGCCAAAAATCATACCAGAAGTAAGTAGAGACTCCATTGCCTATCTTGTGCTTGATCAATTAACTGCAAGATCTTCCTTCAACTCCATGAGCAAACCTGTGAGTGTCCAAAAGCTGTTGTTCTTGATTAGGTAGGACGTGCACCAGTGTATTCATATTCTCTGATTATTACCAACTTTGAGATCCCAAATGTGTTTGAGGATAGCTGCTTTGTTATTCATTGTTGCTTCTATAGAGCACATGAATAAAGGATATAAGATGCGTTGGAAACTGGAAATACTAAAATTACTCAGCTTTGATCACCCCCATATAATACGAAGTGGAAAAAGTCTTGAACTCGATCTGAGTAGGATAAATTATCCATTTCCAGGCATTCATCTACTCCTTTCACCGAAACTAGGCTCTCCTTGTAGATAAAAATCCTAAGGCAATACTCATCTGCACAGGGTCCAAGGTTTTTAATCCCCTGAATACGATGGTTGTATAAAACCAACTGTGAAGTGCTAGATTCTAGTAAAAGCTCACTGTTTTTCCAAATCCCGAGTGGCCTCAGAATGTCTAAAAGAGGCCCAATGGATAATTTTTTGGTCCAGAAACCCTCTTCCTTCATCACCCATACGTAAAAAGATTTATCAACCTTGTTTGGGTCAAAAAGGATCATAGCAATAAAGTCATTGTACATGGTAAGATCCCCACATAAGGATTTGGAAAGATTAGGAGGTGTTGGTATCCCTTCTTTGAAATTCTCAGTGCTCATGTCAAAGGAAAGGAGTGTGTAGTTACGAAAATCCTTGCTGGCTAGCCAATAATAAGATCCATTTATATATGTGTTACTATAAGAATTACGTATGGAACGATTTACAATCAACTCATATTCAAAGAGTCTCCAAGAATCTATACCTAGGTTATAAACTGCAATGACCTTTGGAATAAATGGAATATCTTTTTCCTCATCGTAGAAATACCGCATCCAAACCACCTTGTAATCATTTGTTATTGGATCTACCCCAAATCCAAATATATGCATGAAGGCCATTATATGGGGTGGAAAGTTTGGTTGTGCTGGGGTGAGGGGCCTGAATTCTTTTGTTGCTGGATTCCACAACGCCATGCTATCCCGTGGCCAACTGTTAAATAGACCAAATATGCCACCAAAGGGTCCAATAATAACTTCCAAATTGCAGGGATACTGAATTTCATTAATATCGTTATATGCATAGGGCAGACTGGATAAATTTTCATCAGGGAACAAAGCAAAAGCAAATTTTTTGATGTTAAAATTGTAATGTTGAACAATGAGACGGGAATGGTTGGTATGATGGTGGTGGTGCTTGTTAATGAATGTAGAATTTCTTATCAGACTGTACCAATATTTGCAAACACAGCTAAATCGAATCAATGATTTCACATGCAGCCTTGATAAAATCTCAACTATGGAATCTTCTGGTACATGGCAATAGCCACCATTGCTTGCCATTGCCTCCCTCTCTTGTGACTACACTTGGTTGCTAAGCCATTCTTTTTTTCTTTTTTTTTCTTCCTATCATGATGAAGAAATTTGCAAACTAAGTCCCAATTTTTAATATAGATTTTGTTTCTCATGGAAAAAACAAAATCATGAGAAATTATTTTAACCCTTTTGCTCATCATTACAATAAGAAAGTACAAAATGTAAGAGAAATAGAGGAAAATGACTTAGAGGATCGTCTCGAACATATGTGTGTGTGTAGGGCGTGCACCCGTGCATGTATATCTGTGTGTATGCACACGAGTGTGTGGGTATAAATATATACTAAACAAGAAATGTTGAACATAACAAAAGAAGTAAAGAAAATAAATGATTGATTAGCTAGATTTCTCCTAAAATCGTAAAAGAAAAAAATAATTTATGTGATCGACCAATTCTAGAGAGATTAAGGGCCTTAAGGCAGGAATAATGACAATAATGACATAAGGATATATGATAATAAAAGTTGGATGCGTACACACTTGTCCTTCGTGGCTTCATTTACAAATGTGTTCAGACCACTTTACAAGCTAGCAAATACTATTTCATGCCAAAAACTTCAAAACCTGGACAAAGCTGCTAAAATGATAATGTGTTGGGACTTTCCTCAGCAGAAAGACAAATTATGTGCTCACTGGTTTAGATGTAAGTATGAGCTTTCAATTTTTGGACTGTTGTTCCTAAACAACAAGACTGCTGTTTGGAAACAAATTCTGGAGGTTAGAGATCTTATGTTGCAGTATTGTATTTATAGGATTGGCATAGATGATTAGTTCAATCAGTTGCATGATCCTTGGTGTGGTGGTAGGTCTCTTGTTCAGAGATTTGGGACCAACATGTTTAGATTTTATGGTAACACTGCACTTGTCCAATCTATTATCCAGGAGGGGGCAATGGAACATTCCTGAAAATCTCTGTGCTGAGATCAGAATGTGTATTTCTTCTTTATCAATTGGAGTGGACTCTGATCATATCTTGTGGAATCATAGTACCTTCTCCTTGAAATTTGCTTGGAATGTGTGTAGAAAGAAAGATTCTAAAATGGAATGGTCAAAGTTATGTTGAAGGAATTTGTGAGATATAAAAATTGTAATTGACAAATTTCGGCGTCAAAACGTGTCCAATCGAGTTGTAATTTTTGTTTTACTCTTAGTCTCAATATCGGAAGTGGAACTACAAGTATTGCAATGTGCGAGCATAATTCGGTTCTGGAAACATCATTTAGAATAGGTAAGTGAGTGAGAAAAACGTGAGTTTGTTTAAAGTTGGGTAGAAAAATAGAAGTTGGAAATTGCATACAACAAAGTCCAACCGCTTGCATTGAGTTGAATCGGTTGCATTTTCATAAAAAGAACAGCTCTCGGAAAAATCTAACCAATTGCATTTGAAAATTGAACCGGTTTCATTTTTGCACGAAAAACAAGCCTCCAGAAAAATAGAACTGGTTGCACTTTCTTGAATATGCGAAAAATCAATTTTTGGTAACTTTTTAGTTTCATGTTTTTACCCAAACTTGTAGAGCAATCCTTGCATGATTTTGAAAGCCCTTTTTTTTTTTTTTTTTTTTTTTTTTTTTTTAAGGATTGTCTAAGCCTATATAAACTCTCTTTAATTCTCTCCAAATTTTTTTGGGCTTGAAAATCAATATTTTTCTAATTGAGAGAATTGTTTGAGACTATTTTTCTACAATCACCTTGATTGTTCATTATATTTTTATATACTTGAGAGCACATTCTATTACATGAGAGTGATCTTAGGATGATGTTCTCAATCTGATCGGAGTTCAAGCATATTGAAGATTCAGAAAATTCTATTCAAAATAGTAGGGGTTTTATTTTTTTACTTCAAAAATCCAATTTTGAAGAAAAGGAAGAAGCGATCACACTTTAAAGGGATCAAGATATTCGTGGAGTTTTGGTTGATTTACCAGCGATCTTTCTTCAGAGATCAAGAGTAAGCCTGAAGTCGAGAATAGTTGAATGAGGGAGTTTCAAAGGTAGGGATGGTCAATGATTGGTTTTTGGTATAACGATGTAGTGTGAGCGGGAGTTAGAATCAATTGTAATTTGAGATAGAATGGGGAGGTTATACATTTGAGATAGAGGCCCTTTGCCAGATAAACCAAATATTATAGTGTGCGTGTGTGCAAATGCACTATTATGTACTAAGTGGCTACCTTATTTGCTAATTGATTCATATAATTTCTAAACAAACATGATAAAAAACATGAAATTAATGAAATTAAACCATTCTCAAAAGTATAGTTACCGTATGCGACCTTGACATTGTTATTGCATAACCCAACAAAATAACAATGTTTGAGGAGTAAAACACATAAACAATTACGAAAAAAAAAAAAATCACAACAGAAGATACATGTGATTCACCCAAACTCTAGGCTGTCCACGGAGCACACCAAATAATTTTACCATGAAAAAGATAAAAGGATTACACTGAAGAATTTTCATCTCAATCTCTCTCTCTTGCTCTCTCGGGCCTGCACAGTAAATTCTCTCTCTCCACTTAGAGTTGGTACAAAACTCAATATATCTAGGAACACAACTTGCCTTACAAGTATAAGCCTTATGGGGAGTCACACGGATAACGAAATTAATTTCCGCATGTATCAGAAGTGAACCGTCCAAAGTAAAGGAACCGGTTGTACTTCTCAGAATTCATGTTGTGAGGCTCAATGCCCAAGTATTTAAGTGTGGCCGATTCCACTTCTTCACAAGTGCGATCGGTGCCAAATAAGTGTGACCGTTATCACTTTTTCATAATGCAATCCGACAGTGATTTAGGCTGCCAACCTCAATATACATTTCCCCTTATTGTAGAATAAAATACTAAGTGGAAATGTATATTAGTATACACTGTGTGTACAATCCGACTCAATAGTAAATGACATAAAAGTAAGGCTTATATTATTAGCCAGTCAAAACCACCCCATATTAATCCGATCCAACTGTTTGAAATAATAACAGATATAATAACCATATCCAATATTTTCAGGTCATGAAAGCAACAACTGCAATTAAAGCATTTGACTCTAAGGAAATCTAGCATAAACCAGAAGTTAAGAAGGGAACTCTATTACTAAATATATAATGCAAATTGGTTTCATCGAATCAATGTGAAAAAATATATATATATATCAAATCCATATCCTTAAATAACCTACGATGGAAAAATAAATAAAAATAAAAAGAAGCCATGAAAAGCAAAATTTCCCATACGTTTACATATATGAAATCAAGATCAAGCCAAAACCAAGCCAAGTCCTTACCTTAGTATCAGAAAAATGAGCAGTAGCTTTTTGTTGTCCAATGATTTCTAATGCACTACAAACAAAATATAAATTACTTCAAACAAATTATAGAATATACTTTCTTCAAATAAGAAATGTAGATTTAACTCGATATGAGAAATTCAATTCATGTAGGGATTAAAAAAAAAAAAAAAAATTTGATGAAAAAAGATAAAAATCATATGAATTTAATAATCATGTACTCAAATGGAGGACTTTAGATAATATCGTGACTAATATATATATATATATATATATATATATCATTGGGCTAAAGGCTTTTAGTACTATTTTAGAAAAGACAGATGGTAATATGTATAGAAAAATCTCCACCAATTTTTCTCAATCAATATAAAATAAAGAGACAGAAAGATACCATTTTGTTTTCCATGATTGGGTAATACACTTGTGAAATGAGGAAGAAAAAGGAGATTGGAGAATAGGGGAAGTAGGGATCCTTGAATTTTGGGAGGCAAGAGAGTTGGGCATTTCATTTCAAACGCGAAAATGAGTTCAAAACGAGAGTTTTAAGGGAGAAAATAAGCGATGGAAATTGTCCGAACCTTTAAAAGTAATCACGTCCACGACCAAACAATATATTGACGTTTTCTTACCTCTTCATGCCTACGCTTCTCATTTTATTAACAAAAATCCAAATATTTCGTAGGTTCTCTAATTAATTTCGTATTTATCTTTTCTCAATCCTTTAAGTAGAGTCATTCGCTGCTAAATCCAATGTAATATTTTATGTAGTGAATCGAAAAGTCAACGCACTGCGTCAAAAATCATTTGCGGGTTATGGGGCCGGTTTGATAAATACCCGCCCCACCCTATATATATATATATATATACCTCTCTCTCTCTCTCTCTCTCTCTCTCTCTCTGTCTTAAGTTTTTACTAAAGTAACATAGCCTATTCACCAATCTGCTTTTACTAAATATTTTTTTGTCGCTCTTCAATGGGTTTCCAATATATATATATATATATAGCTATTTATTTTGTTATCCAAATAGTTATTGGCCTTAGGTTCACAATTAAAGAAAAAATATTGCATAAATGGGGTGGGCCCGGGTGCACTTGTCTCCTAAAGGGACAGGCAGGGGCTTTAAAAGAAAGGGTTAAATACAATTGCACTCATTACACATAAATGAAACTTTTCAAAACATTTGCACTCATCCCCCCACCCCCCAAGCGACCTTGTGAATTTACATTTTTGCCCACTAAATATTAAAATTGTTTTTTCTATCCTCTGCATAACTCTTTCTCCTTGCTCCCAAACACCTAATCAGGATGGAGCTAGTGGGGGTTCCCCACCCACCCACCCACCCACCCAATTTATTATTTATTTATTTAAAACATTCATTTATTGTCCCTATAATTATGAATTTAGAATTAAATATAGCTTGTGTCAACTCAAAACTCATAAAAATTTTATTTGGACCTTTTTATAGCTTAAATCTTGTAAAATAAAAATAAAAGTTCATTGTTGGTAGATTTTACAACAATACATCATTATTTTTTTACATTTACATATACACAAATATAATATCTATTATATTTACAAATTTTAAAAATTTGGGGGTACATAGTTTAAGATTTTCAAAAGTTTCATCTGAGCAAATGTAATTAATTAGGGCAAACCTGGTCAGAATATTTAACCAA